GCAGCCACCTTAGCCAGGAACCGCGCCACGTTAGCTGTTATCAGTCCATCGGCATTTGAGTCAGATAACAGTACTGAGAGCACCCAAGGTTGCGCGGGAAGATTCATCTTCGTGAGAATAGGAGAGATATAAGTGCCTCTAACTTGAGTCCAGTGGGGACAGCGAAATATCAGGTGATCTAAGGTTTCAATTTCGCCAGAATTGCACAGACAAAGGCGCCATTTTTTCAGCCTGATGTGACATTGTTTACATTAGGAAAAACTTCAAAAAAGTCTCTGTAAGTTTGTTAGATCTCGCTCTTTAACCAGACTGCACTCTATTTGGACTATATAATGCTTTCCAAGCAGCTTTCCCCTTCTACCTCTTCAAATTGCTTCAGACGGTAGACTATCCAACCTTCTTTTTTCTCCCGGGGTGAGCTCAGCTCAATTCCCTCCACTTTTAAGTTTAAGGATTTGGGGGGAGCTGCCGCTTAGATGTTTGTCTGTTTTAAAGGCATATGGACTCCCACTTCATCAGCTGCTTGCTTCAACAAGGTAAGGAAAGATTTAAGACACTAGATCTCCTGTTCGCTTTTCCCGGTATGCATCTCCGTCACCATTGCTGGTCTCGCAGCGGTGGGACCTGTTGGGGCAAAGAGGAGCCTTAATCCCTCGGCCGTCACCTTGGGAGCGGCACCTCTTGCGCCCCAAGCTATGAGCCCCCTCCGAGGGGTCAGGGGGGACCGGAATCATCCGGTACCCCTCCCGTCTGCTACGATCCGGGGTCACATTCATCAGAGCTTGATGAAACGCACCCGTCAGCAAGTCGCCAAAACCGGAAGCCTCATCAGCAGTGTCTTAGCATGCTAATGTCACTCCCTGTGTACCTGAAAGTGATATTCAATGCGCTGACATCACTTCTGATGTACCCAGAAAGTGATGTCAGCATGTCACCAGCAATGTCAGTGCATTGCCAGAAAGGGCCCTTGATTACATGGTGTGTCCCTCCCCCACTTGCTGGGGGGGACCTGGCAACCCTAAATGAACAGACACTTCAAGTGGCTTACAGATAATATAAACAAATATTAAAAATTGAAATCTCATTTTTTAAAAAAATGTGTTCTACAATTAAAGTCACCACCAAAAAAGTCCTGTCTTGCATGGCCTTATTTCAGATAATAGTGGAACATGGACCAGTGCTACAGATGATAACTGCACATGTGCAAGTTCATAGGGAAGCTGACAGTCTTTCAAACACCCTGGTCCCACATCATGCAGGACATTGAAGGTCATAACGAGGATGTTAAAAATTGATTCTGCCGATGATTCAGTAGCCAGTGTAACTCCTTCAGCACAGATGAAATGCGTAAATAAATACCTTTATATCTAGTTTCCAGTTTCTTCAGTGAACTATGAAGAAATTAATGGAGAACAAGACTATCAAATATCTAAACGGTAGCTAGATCTTCAGGTTCAAAGGCAGGATAACAAACCACATGGAAGGCCCATTGCAGTGATATGTGATTCTGGTGACTCATGCAATCCCAACATGGGGCAAATAACCCCTCCCTTCTGGGGCTGTTTTGGCTCAGGAAATCAGCAAAAGGGGGAGGCAGGAGCTCCTCCCTCCTCCACAACATGGTCCCAAGCCAAATTGGGCCTCTGTAATCCTTTTAAAAATAGTTCCTCACAGCTGCTGTGTGTTACTGTTCCATCATGAGCACAGTGCAGCTTTACAATGGAGGATCTATACCTTGACAGCTATTGCATCCATGAAATAATTCACTTCCCCTATTTTCCCATCCACTTTGGATGTTTTGCTACACTGTGGTCACAAATCTACTTTTCTTTCTGTTCATGGATGTTCATGGAGGTATACTTCCAATTAAGTTTTCCATGTTTGAGTCCATTAATCCTACTATATCATCATGGCAGTGTATGACTGCTTTCCCCCTCAAAAACTACATGGTATTGTAATGGATTCCAGAGTTTCTATGACTTTTGGATACATATTTGCAGTTGTCATATTCAAAACATTTGTGGTTTTGGTGTATTTCTCCAAAGCAGCCATCATATTTATTTATTTATCATTGTATTTTTAGCATCATTTATACCACACTTTTCTCCCACATAGGAATCCAAAGTGGTTTATGTTGCTCTCCTCCATTTTATACTAGCAACAACCCTGTGAGTTGTTGTTGTTCAGTCGCACAGTCGAGTCCGACTCTTCGTGACCCCATGGACCAGATCACGCCAGGCCTTCCGGTCTTCCGCCGTCCTCTGAAGTTTGCTCAACTTCATGTTAGTTGCATCTATGACACTGTCTAACAATCTCATCCTTTGCCGTCATCCATATACAATAAGTGTGAAATCTTTGGGCCTATATTGAAAGCTGGTGTCCTAGGCCTGTGCTGTTGAGAATTATTGTGAATAGTATTAGAGCAATGACAAAAATCTTACAATAACCCTTGAAAGCCTGCAAAAACAAGTGAAGAAAGTGAAGAACTGGACAGTGCTTGGAAGAGATGAAATCCATGGCTATTGGCTTAAAAAGGGGACAAGTCTTCATCCACGATTGGTGCAACAATCTTAATGATGTGCTCTGTTCCAGAGCAGTAGAAGATTGGATAACAACTGGCAGGACATTTCTCTTTCTGAAGAACAAAGGGAAAAGAGCAGTGTCAAGCAACTCCCACCCCATAACCTGCATCCCAACAACTTTTAAACTACTGACGGGAATTGTAGCCAATTCCATTCAAGAATATCTACAGCTTAATTCAGCTTTACCACATAAACAAAAGGGAATTTTCCAAAAATCCCGAGACAGTAAATATCTGTTACTGGTTGATAAAATGGTCTTATGAAATTGTAAAAGGTGGAAAACCAACCTGAAGGTTGCTTGGATTGATTACAAGAAGGCATTTGATTCAATCCCTCATACATGAATCCTGAAAACACTAGAAACTATGGGCATCAGCAAAACTGTAATAAAATTTATAAAAACTGTCATGAGTAAATGGAACACCAGGTTGATAGTGAAAGGAGAAGAAATTGCAACAGTTTATTTTATTTATTTATTTATTCATTGGATTTATATCCCGCCCTCCCCAAATGGGCTCAGGGCGGCTAACAACAGAGGCAAATGCCATAACAAACAATTAAAACAGCATAAAAACAATCATTAAATAAAGTGCAGTGCTCTTGATGTTAAGTCTTATTAGTCCAAGATGGTTTCCATTTGTCAACCTAACCTGACAGCATACGTTCTTCGGTCATCTAGGCGTCTTCCCAGGGCCGGTTCACCTCTATGTCTAATCCACTGTCGAAGATGGCAGCTCAATGGTGGCACAATGACAGCAGCGGCTCCTATGCAAAGGCCTGGCGGAAGAGCTCTGTCTTACAGTTAATTAGGGATGGGCACAAACCAGCTCATGTACCTAAATTCCTGACAAAATGGGCCCGGTTCGTGGTTTACAAACTGAGGTTTGTGCCATCCTGCCCCCATGAACTTCCCACAAACTTCCCAGGTGGCTTTGGGAGGTTTGTGTGGTTCATTTTGGCAGATGCACTGACAGTGGGACTTGGAGAAGGCATTTTAAAAGATCATGGTTTATGCTGCAATAAATTGTGTTAGCCTTCAGGGTGCCACTATACTCCTGTTTTATTCCATACTAGTAGGAAGGCCCGTTGCGAAAATGAATGTGACGGACTCTAGGAAGAGGGCCTGGGTGAGTGCGACTCGCGGCTGGGCAGCACTGGCACAGGGAAGTGTGGCGTGGCCCTTTCCCCCCTCCCCGAGCCCAGTTGGGCCGCACCGGGCCAGCGAGGCAGGGGGGTTGTGCAGGGAAGCCCGGCAGCCCTCCCAGAGTGGACCTGCATTTACCAGCCAGGTGCTGCCACCACTCAGATCCATCTTCAGGCCGCTAGGCTTCCCTTCCTGAGCCCAGTCGAGCCACCCCAGCGAGGCTGGGGGTGGTGCAGAGCAGCCCGGTAGGGCCCTCCCTCTCCCACAAAAGGGCCCGCAACCTCCCTGGGCCAGGCCGTGCCAGGCCAGGGAAGCGTGGCGCGGCCCTTTCCCTGTTCTCTGAGGCCAGTCTGGGTGGTGCAGGGAAGCCCAGCGGGGCCCTCCCCCCTCCCGAAGAAGGGCCGGTGGCCTCCCTGGGGCAGGCCGGGCCAGGGAAGTGCTGCGTGGCTGTTTTCCCCCTCTCCGAGGCCAGTCAGGCCGCCCCGCCAGCCCAGCGAGGCCGGTGGGCCAGGGAAGCCTGCCCCCCCCCAGCAGCTCCTCCTCCTAAATGAGCAGAGCGGGCCGGAGTGTCTGTCGTCTGAGGGAGCCAGGAACAGTGTGAGGCAAATTTTGGTGGGTGCTCTTGTGTGGGCGGGACTGAGTCTACGGAGCCAATGACCTTCTGACATTCTGAGTGGCAGTTCAAGCGGCCAACTGATTTTGCCACGCATTGAATCTTGCCACCCCAACTGGCTTTTATTAATAAGGAAGGATTATCTCTCCTCACACCGCTCTTCCTCTATGGTGTTCAGGGTATCATACATGGTTCTGCTTTCTATACTTTTATTAAGCTTACAACAGGCTGAAAGAGAAAGACTGCCCAGTGAAATCTTGGCTGAGTGGAGATTTCAACTTGGGTTTCCCCAGTTCTAGTGTGACACTTGAACCACTACTGTCCAGGATTATTGTGGAACAACCAATGAATTGTATCTGGCTGGATATCTTTTATGGCTAAGTTCCTTTATTGTTTGTTTTTAATGATTTTTATGCTTTTAAAGTAATTTTTACCATGTTTGTGAGTTGCTTTGATCAGGAGAAACAGTATAACATTTTCTCAGTAAACAAATAAATCACAGCAATCTCACTTGTCTAGCAGTCTGGTGAAGTCATCCATGGATTGTATATACTGTCTGAGCTAATATTCAACAGTAATGTCGACTAGTTTTTTTGGAGGGGGTTATGATTGGCTAATGATTGTTTTAACAACCTTATGGTGGTTGTCTTTCATCTTTCAGACATGATCCTCGATCAACAAGTAGGTTCAGGACAGCTCAGTGAAGACGTTCGTCACAGAGTACATGAAGCATTGCTCAAACAGCACCATCACCAGAATCAGAAGAAGCTAAGCAATAGGATCCCCATAGTGAGGTCCTTTGCCGATATTGGCAAGAAACAATCTGAACCCCATTCCATGGACAAAAATGGTAAAGTGTCAATACTATTTTGTAAGGATTTCTAAACTTTTCATTACCTGTGTGTTAAACAAACAGGGCATTTGGTTGTAAGGAGCAAAGTGGCTGGCATCCTCCTGTGCCAATGGCATAACAATGTTGCAGGAACTCTGCACATAACACTGTATTACTTCATGTCACAGTAGATTGCATGTTTCTCTGCATTCTTCCTTGCCCCATTAAGATCAGCTGTACAGAGGGATCAGCTGGAGATAGGGACCTGGGGACTTCCTGTAATTACAGCTCATCATCTCACTGCAGAGATTAATTCCCCTAGAGAAAATGGATGCTTTGGAGGTGGACTCTGTGGCATTGTATCCCACTGGGGTCCTTGTCCTCCCTAAGCTCCATCCTCAAATCTCCAAGAGTTTCCCAACCTGGATCTGGCAACCCAATCCCCCTGTCCCCTGTTGGTGACCAGGAGGGACCTGGCAACCCTAGCTGGAGAAAACAGGTTATGGTCCTTTCACTTCAGCAAGTCAGAACTATGAGATATAGCTTAGCAGTGATGGTCCTGGAATTATGAGGTGTTTTTATTTCTCTGCAGTTGGATGGGAGGGAAGGAGGCATGGTGTAGCCTGATCCCATCAGATCTCGGAAGCTAAGCAGGGTAGACACTTGGATGGAAATCCGCCAAGAAATACAGTGCAGAGGAAGGCAATGGCAAACCATCTCTGCTTCTCACTTGCCTTGAAAGCCCTTTGCTGGGGTTGCCATAGACTTAATGGCACGTTTTATACACACAGTTGGGTACCCATGGAGGCTTACAACATTTTTCTCCTCTCCTCCGTTTTATTCTCATAACGACATCCCTGTGAGATAGGTTAGGCTGAGAGAGAATGTTTGGCCTAAGGTTAGCCAGTGAGATTCCATGGTAGAGTGGGGATATGAACCTGGGTGCCCTGGATCCTAGTCCAGTACTCTAGCACTACACCATGGTGGCTCTCATGAGGGTACTGAGGAAACCTTCCAGCCTGGGAAGGTGCCCTATAAACATTCATTAGGGTATGCACCTGTTTTGCCAGGTGCATATGGGCATACTATAGGGTTTTTTTCCTATCAGTTGTTCTTTCTGGTTGGGTTATGCATCTGTTATAGGTGTCAATATTTTATTTTATTGATTGGTTGTGGATTATTTCAGTAAAAATTGCAGAACATTATGTATTTGAGATATAGTGAGGAAGGAATTCCTAAAAATAAATATCTTGCAGTGTTATGCGAATATAGCTGTGCTTATGCCATTTCCTAGCCAATTATATGCTGGCACAGCAAGACTTTGGGATTGGGGTGGAAACAGGCCGACCTTTCCAATCCAATTATATAATTATCTTAACTCTGAGAGGCTCAATCAAGAGACATTTGTTAAAGCTTATCCTGGTGTCATAAGACTAAGCCCTCTGGTCAGCAGGGATCAGTAGGCATAGTACAGGTAAGCTGCTCAAGGAATGCAACTGAAACTTCTTACGTTGTGGCTCATGGTGTTTGTAAAGCAATTTGATTGGCACCTAAAACTCCTTATTTCAGTGGTAATGGGAAAAACAAATGCTGCATGTTCATATTCTGCATTCTTAACATACACCAAACTTTATGAGTTGGCTTCAATGCAACTGCAAATTTTTGAGTAATTATTTTGACTGTCTTTACTAAGTGAAAGCAAATATTTCCAGTTCCATAAGCATTTTCCTTTTGGGAAATCATGTCATAGAGATGCTGTTACAAATTTTGGAGGGGTAGACAGTCTTTTTTTTTTTAATAATTTTTATTGATTAACAACACTTTACTGCTGAACTACTGGTCTCAAACTGCTGAACTACTGACCTTCTAGCCTGCAGTTCAACGTCTTAACCACTGAGCCACGGCAGCTCCTATGCTGAACGATGCCTCAGATAACTCAGTTTTATCCTCCATATGGAAGTAGTAGGGAACAATTGTAAAATGCTGTATTCTCAGTGCCAAACTACAAATTACTCTTTATAAAGTGTTGGGTCTGGGGAACTCGGAACCAACTCAGGTTCCTTGCAGCTGCTTTGTGGCTTCTAAAGCAAAATAAAGAGAGCCCAAATGGGCTTGGAACTCAGTTGCCCAGTGAAAAAGGGCTCCTGCTTTCACCCCAAGTAATTTTCACTACAGGGGGGAGTTATTACCCTATTTTTGCTGCACCATGTAAATTATCCTGCTCTATGTGGAGTATTAAAAGTGGCCATCAGGACAGTGGCATGAGCTCACTTCTGAGGAAAACTTGGTTGTAATGTCACATTTATCTATGGATCACCAGAATTCTGTGGTAAAACCATAGAGTTTCCAGTGATTCCTAGAAAGGACTGATGTCACTTCCAGGGGAAACCTAGAACTGGCATCACAACATTGCCAGTGGCTGCCCCCATGTCCTCACCTCTTAGGTCTCCTGCTGTTTGCCAGGCTGAGCCTGGTTTGGTTATCAATTTTGGTTATCAATTTGGTTATCAATTTTGAGGATACAGAGTTTTCAGCTGAGCCAACAATTTACTTATTTGAAAGTCAGACAACTATGAATGTAAGACGATCCCCTTAAAAAGATTATATTAAAAGTTTTTACAGTATTTATTACAGCTCCCTGTTTTTGTAGACAAAACTTGTCTTTCTTTTAGGTAAGTAGGGTAATTTCATTCTCCCCCTCCTTCTAAAGGACAATAATCTCTAGTACTGTAACCTTTCTTGCTAGGAGTAGTTTGGGATTCATGTTACCAGTTGTAAATCAGACGCTGTATATACTTATAGCTCAGTTCACAAAATACTGAGCCAAAATGCTACAGAAGGATCATGGTTAAGTCCTTGGCTTTTTCTAGTTAAAGGATCTTGGGTGAAACGTCTTGGGAAAGAACGCCGTCCACATGATTTTTATTTTTTTTATTCATTCTGATATTTATACACTGGTTTTCTCTCCAATGGGAACCCAACAACTTACAACATAGTTACCCCCTCCTCTGTTTTATCCTAACAACAACCCAGTGAGGTCTGCTGGGCTGAAGGAGAAACTGACCCAATATCACCTAGTCAGCTTCCATGGAAAAATGGGTATTTGAACCTGAGTTTCCCAGATCCTAGTCCCACATTCTAACCCCAAGACCATGCTAGCTCTTGTGAGATTCTGGAGAAATGCAGCCAATCAGAATGGGCAGTACTGAGCTTGGTGGCCCAATGGTCTGAATCAGTATAAGTGAGAGAGAACATGCAGAGTAACCACAGCACACACGTATTAAAAATATTGACATATCGCATTTAGAAAACAGTGGGCTTGACCTTGCCCACGTCTTCACTCAGTGGTACCGTCCCACATAGCTTTTGTTCAAGCAGGCACCATGATTCCTAGCATAGCCTTCTTGATAGTCAAAGGAGACTCCCTCCTCCTTTTATCACTAGCGGGGGGAAATGGTTGGATCCAACACAATTTCCAGGGATGCCAATCTCCAGTTAGGACCTGAAAATCCCCCAGTATTACAATTGATCTCCAGGCTACAGAGATCAGTTCACCTGGAGAAAATGTCTGCTTTGGAAGGTGGACTCTGTGGCATTATACCCCACTGAGGTCCCTCCCTAAACCCTGCCTGCTTGGGACTCCACCCTCCAAATTTCCCAGCCCATAGCTGGCAACCCTACCAATTACTGTTCAAAGTAGCTAACAGCAAGTTACACAAGAATAATAATGTTAAAATTATCCCAATAAAAATGACAATGAGAGTCAACAAACCAGCAGCAAGCAACCTTTTACAAACAAAATGAGACCTAACAAGAGCAGATCAGGATTCAAACAGATTAACTATCCCTGGTGTCTGAACACCAGCAGCTAAGTATTTAGTAAAGCCTTCCAGTAATATGGTGCCACTAGCAAGAAGGCTTTTAGTACACTGCTCAGCTCTCTACCTAGAAATTATACACTGAGTTTGATGCTTGCAAACATATGCAACCTATTCAGGAATATAGCCTGTATTCCATGCATATATAAACAAGGGCAGATTAAGGCATCCTGAGCCTCTAAACTATATCGTTTAAGTCACGAGGAGTCTGCTGAGGGCAGGGCAGTCCCCCCCTGCCCTCCATAGCCTGCCCCATTCCAGTGAGCAGCATGAGGAGGAAAAAGGAGGGGGGACTATGCCTCTGACATTTTGACACCACTTCCAGGTGATGAACCAGAGGTGATGTCATTTCCTCCCACCCATGTAGCGCTCTAGGAATTAATCCAATCTATGGTATTTACCATATAGTTTTGAGGATTCCTAGAGTGTTGCGGGTTCAATTATGTCACTTCCAGGTCTTTACCCAAAGTGTCATCAAAGCATCAGCTACACTTTCCCCTCCGAGGCCCCATCCCCAAACAGCTCTTGGGCTGGCATCCCTAGTCAGATTTAAGAAGCCGCATAGTGTTACCAAACATGTGTATTTTCTTAACTAATTACGCAAAATTGGACATTTAGTCATTTTTTTTATTTAGGGCCTCACATAATTTGAACCCCTAAACTATATCTTCCTTAGTTTATGCATAATCCGGTTCTGTATTAAAGCTATTACTGCATGTAACTTTTTTGCAGTCTTGGAACAAGTTGGGGCATCTAATCCCTCAGTAGCCAGAGCAACACGTATTCTCTGTTTTTGTTTTCTGTTCATCCTATTCGAGTTTACTACCTTTGCTCATGAATTGCTATTAATCCATAATCTTGATATAAAGGTCATATAACTCTTAATCATTTTTTCACTTCATAGTAAACCTTTCTTCTCCCTGTGTTCTTGTGCCCACAAGTAACTGTATGTAATTTGAACTCTGCTGTTGTGCAAGTCATCTTCACATTTTTTTATTTTGCTCTGTCTTTGTTGTATCTGTCTCTAACAGGCTCATCTCATCTCTGTACCTCCCTCCCTCATCTCCTAACCTTTGGGTTCTGTAAGCTCCTTGAAGGTCCAGAGGTAGTGTAAAAAAAATCCTATATTGCATGAGCTTTAGACCAATTCAAATGTTCATTCATGTTTCACATCAGTTTTCTTCCAGCATGAAGTTTTTCATTGTTATCTTAGTCAGTCTCCTGCTATTCAGAGTCCATAATAACATTTTCCAGAATTTTGAGAATTGTAGGCCAACACAGTTGGTGTCTCTCTTTCTCTCTGTCTCTCTCTGTCTCTCTCTGTCTCTCTCTCTCTGTCTCTGTCTCACACACACACACACACACAGAGTTTTAAACATAATCATTTAGTTTGGCTGACATCTTTCAATTATTGAAGGAAAGGAATGGAATTATAAGTTAGATTTTAAAAAATGGCTGCTTCAGACCATAGACCCATCTAGCTTCATACTCTGGGCATATCAAAATTACCGATATGTGTTGTTTTGCAATCAATTCAACTGTCCTCTCTTCCCCTAAAGAATCAAGGAAGAGCACAGAAAATTATTTAACAGATACCTACCCATTCTCATCATGTAACTATATTTCAGAGTAAGAAGTATTAAACCATTTTAAGTCTGTGGACCTAGCCAACCAGATACACTGAGAAAGCACATTTATTGCAATAACACTCAGGCAGCTTTTAGTGGTTACATGATAGCGACTTAAATACAAGTGGAGGGGTGATCCCTGCCAAAGCAATAGTACACGTTGCTGTCCCAAATCTGTGTAACTGCCATAGTGGACTACAGATAGGTCTATTCAATTTACCTTCTCAGTCCCCCCCCCCCCCGTTCTGTTTTTTAAACTGGCTGTAATTAGTTCCCAAGGTCTGAGTAAGCAAAATGTATTATCCTGTCCTTACAAGTAGCTAATGATTTGCCTTGCTAAAATATTATGAAATAGTCTCTGGGTTTTGATTCCATGGTTCATGTGCACAGAATGTGTGTTTTAGCTATGCCATAAGTCTCCTTGAACTCTGTATGGAGGAAAGGCAGCTAATAAATGTTTTAAATGAATGAATAAATAAATAAATATGTGACTTCTCTAATTTGAACAGCTACTCAACTGAATGCTTCACAGTTGTATATGTGATTGTTAGTATCCTGTAATAACAATCTTTTTTAGCAGGTCAGATTGTTTCCCCCCAGTCTGCACCAGCTAGCCTTGAAGTCAAGAACGATGTAAGCAGAGAAAACAGCGCCGTTGACTTCAGCAAGGTAAGACTTTACTACCTGGAACAAATGAACATTTGTGTGGCAAGCATGTTGTTTAGTCTGTGGAGTAATACACATTTCATTTCAGTGTTGCAAAGTGTTAACTTGTGTTGAGTAGATTTTAGTTAAAAGGAAGGGAAGGAGAACTTTAATAGTGCTGAAAGTAAAGCTATCAGGAAATCCTGTTTTGGGGCATTTCTTTGCATAGTAATATGATGGCATCCTAAATTTTTATAAAATATCAGGGGTCATTTCCTGCCGGAGCACCCCAGAGCAGTGCTCGGGCAGGAAGGAGCCCAGGCCCCACCTGTGGAGACACTCAGGGAGGGGGAGACTTAAATGTTTGGGTTCCTTGCCTGATCTTCTCCAGGTGCCCTGCAGCCACGGGGCACCTGGAGAATATCAGGCAGGGAACCCAGGCATGACTGTCTCCCTTTGCTCACCGTCTCCAGCCAGCCCACTGTGGTGGGCTAGCTGGAGACGGTGAGTGCAGGGAGGCAGACATGCCTGCCTCCCCCCCGGAGCCTCTCCGCTTTTGCAGAGAGACTGGGGGGGGGATTTAAATTTCTGGGTTCCCTGGCCGACCTAGCATTTGTACATCCCCAGGAGAACTAATAATTCAAGAGAAGCATGCACCATATGATAGATGACTTCCATTATCATGATCAGAAAAGCCAGCACTGGATCCCAAAAACCAGGAGTATAAGGTCAGCTCCAGCATACAAGCAGCTCTTGGGTTGGACACCATGGCCCTTTCTGGTGACAGAAGGGATTTCACTCTGTGGAATTGGATTTTACAGAGAGACTTGAGAGGGGGGGATTTAAACTTATTTGCATAACTCATTTTAAATATGCCTGCCGTTTTTCAGGGGGTGTGGCATATGCAAATGTGTTGTGCAAATGAGCTCCTGCACCTCTTTTTCTAGGAAATGACCCCTGTAAAACATCATAGAAATGTTAACTTGCAAGCCATCCTGATATCTCAAAATGGAACAAAGGAAAGATTAATGTGCTTCACATCAGAGAGCCATGCAGGCATCTTCCACAGCATAGACAGAATGATAATTTCTCCCATCTGTAGCTGCAGTCACTTAGTTGACAAGGGATTAAAGTAGCCTGCTAGCGGTACAATCCTAAACAAAGAAACACCCTTTTAAGATGGTATAACACTGGTTAGGATTGCACTATAAATTTCTGTGAGCAAAAGATGGCTCTAGTCTCATTTTTCTCAGCAGTAGGCTCCTGGGGGATCTTTGGGGAAGGCGTCGACAGCTAACTCTTGTGCACTGAACTTTCTCTTGCTGCTCATTTTCAGCAAAATGTCTGTTGTTTATTCTTCCCCCACTGACCTCTGTTGCTTCCTTTTTCACAGCCCATGTCTATACTAACAGTGCAGTCCTAACCAGAGGTCCACCCTTTCAAGGCCACTGAGGTCAGTGGGTTTAGAAGGGTGTAACTGTGTTCAGGATTTCCTATGAAGGACTAGCTAGTTAGCCAGTGATGGTGAAGACCAATGTTCCCTCTAAGCTGTGGAGTCTTGTGAGCAAAAATTCTACTTTGTGAGCTACTGGCATTAAAGTTGTGAGCGAGCGATTTGGCTGCTGCATAAATCAGTTTGCTTTGGAGCCATCCCTTCCTGAGCTAAGACAAAAATGTGTGAGCCGGAGGCTAAAAATCTGTGAGCTGGCTCACACCAACTCAGCTTAGAGGGAACTATGGTGAAGACCAACAGTATGTTTCGAAAGCCAACTTGCCAGGCAGTTCCTACTAGTCAATAATTGATACTGTAGAAGCTGATAATAAATAAAATCAATGTATTCCCCTATTTGTTGGTTATACCTGCACCCAAGCTTCCTAAGTTGCATTTCTAGGACCAGGGATGGCTTGTGTGGGGAAGTCCCAATTGGTGAATTAGGACAGAGTTCTCAAATTATATATCATTCTTAGTTCCTGTAGTTCTAATTCATAGTACTTGAGAGCCAGTTTGGTGTAGTGGTTAAGAGCGCAGACTCTAATCTGGGAGAACCAGGTTTGATTTCCCGCTCCTCCACATGCAGCTGCTGCTGTGGTCTTGGGTCAGTTACAAGTTCTTTCAGAGCTCTTCTCTTACAAGCAGTTCTTGAAAGAGCTCTCACAGCCCCACTTACCTCCCAGGCTGTCTGTTATGGGGAGGGGATATTGTAAGCTGCTCTGAGACTCTGAATGAAGGGTGAGGTATAATCCCAGTCTCCTCCTCTTTCTATGGAGTACACTACCTGTCACTTAACCTGTCAGGAGAAAATGGGTTATTATGAATTGCGTCTTGTTTTTCCAATAATGCTATATCAGAGCCAAAAAATCTGATTCTGTTGTCCTGTTTTTGTCTTACTTAACTGACTGCACAATAATACTAAAATAGTTTTAAGCTACATTCCTAACTTAGCTTTTGATATTTCATTGCATAATACAAAGAGCATGTCTGATAAAATAATGCATGAGAAAAGAAAGAGTTCAATGGTGCTTTACTTACTGAAAATATCGCTGGAGTGGGAATTGTGCAAAGGGCACTGCATCATTAAGGTGTGTTTGCAACAGATATAGATTTGACAGCTACAGCTGTGAGAGTGGACCCCAGCTGGGTCAAATGAGGATCCAGTAAGATGTCTTGAACCAAGATTCTGTTCTCTGAGAACTGCTGCAAGAAGCATTTGGATTCTGTTGCTGAATGTGCTGTGCAGTCAGTGAAATGAAGCTAGGACTAGTTATGTGCTTGCTCCATCTGGTGCCAGACAGAATATGAGAAGCAGCCTTTTGTACCAGCTGAAGTCTGTTAATTGTGCGTGCAGGGACTAGGAGACCCGCAGAAAGGGCATAACAGTAGTCTATTTGGGATGAAACAAAGACATGAAAAAGGACATCCGCATCAGGAAGAGAGAGAGAGAGAGGTGAGGACACACTCTGGCTATCTTTCTCACAGTGATTGCAAGAAGAGTCTTGAGCTTTTCTGTTTCTCAATGTTAGTTCCAATTTAAAACATGTTGTATCAGTACAGTAGGCAACAGTTTCGATGCACTAGATGAACAAAAATGAAAAATCTTGTACTACATATCTAAAGCACAGACTCTTTTCAAATTGCACATCTTTGGAAACCCTGGTGAATTATCACAAAGATCTCACAAGATGGGCTGGTCCCCCCCCCCAATATAGCTACTCTTAATGTTAGCTAAATGTTAGTCATTCATAGCAAGTTAAAAATGGAAGCTGTTGCAGCTAATACCTGTGAGAGGCATTCGGATCTGTGCTTTGGAGACTCTCCAACCTGGAAAGTGGCAGTGAAACAGATATGCTGAAGGACTGTGGCTTTCTCCTCCACCCAAGAATGATGCAGACCCCTTAGCTTGGTACAGATGAACCCCACCCCCAGCTGGTTGACTCACTGTGTGGGGAGTAAGAGCAGACGCAAGCATACTTGGCCCTGCCTCTGTGTGGTCATCTGTTACCACATGAAGGAAGTAGCTCCTCCCCATGACCAAGAATACTAATTTCAGAACATTGCTCATCACAGGGAGAGGTGTGCATATGGACACTCCCCCCCCCAAAGTGGCCATCTGCAGATGAGCAGGCAGTCACTCAGAGTCAGGGCCAGCATGTTCATACCTGCACAGGGACTCTGGGAGGGGGGCACGTCTGTACCAGGCTTCTATCAAAAGTGTTTTAATGTGCATATGGTGTGGGGAAAGACAAGCTTGTTAAACTAGAGTATTAAAGCAAGGACACTTCCTCCACCTCGAGGCAAATTCCAGTTCCTTTTTAACACAGATTTATGCTATTGCATAATTTCCCCCCCAAAGTGGTTAAAATATCCCCTGCTTTTTAAAAATCTGGGCCATATTCAGACTAAAATTTCTGGAGGCTCAAGTATTTTTGCCCATGGAACACAATTTTCCATTCTCCCATGGCAGACAGAAATGACCCCTGAAATCTTTGGTCCCCCTCCACAAACAGGATTCCATGGGGCATTTCAGAGCCAAACTAGACATGACAGTGTTTCCAAGTTCAACTTGGGGGTGCCTTCACCATTTTAGGGATAACATTCTTTCTGTTTACAAAATCCTGATTGGGGATATGGTGGGGGAGCTGTGCCCCCTGCATGTGCACTGTTTTCAAGAGCCCAAATGCCAGCGTTTGAGCTCTGAAAATGGCATGTGGGCATTCCCCACGCCACATTCCCAATTATGATTGGGCCCCCATGGCTTTTGTAAACAGTGGGAATTTTATCTCTAAAATGATGGAGGCATCTTCATAGTGTACTTGGGGATACTGCCGTACATGGTTTGGCTTTCAGGTTGCCTCAAGTGGTTGCCAACATATTTATGACCATTTGCAGCTTTCCCTATTAACAAAGCACCTTTAGTGACTGCAGCAGCTAACCCAAACCAACAGAAGATGAACTTCTCTATGACCATTTTTCCTACTGGAACATCACATCCCCCTGCTCTTGATATCTTAATACCCATTTCTACAGGGATCCAACTCTACACATTGATAACCTAGATGGTGGAGACATGCTTACCCTTGATATATATATTTGTGCTTGAAAAGCAACTGGTAACTTTCCATACCTGACTTTCACAAGCTTTCCACACCTACCACTATTACTTCCCTGTGTTACATAGAAATGGTCTCTAAGAACAAGAAAATTGTCAAGGTGTCCATCATGATGACTAAATTTGGGGAGAAGGATCAATGCTTGGCATTGTTGGGTTAGTTTCACTTTCTGGCCATAGGTGGAAGATGTTTGTTAGGTTCCTTTCTCCTTCATATCAAAAGCAGGCATAGCTAAAGACAGTAGAAATTAGCATACAGACCCCTCCCCTCACAGGTCCATGGACACGTGATGTCTTCCTGTCCTGATTTTCTGTTTGATCCTCACATATGACTGCAACAGTTGCCTAGGTGATGTGGTAGGTTTGCCAGCCCCCAGATGGGGGTGGGAGATACCCTGCTTTTGTGGGCTTGGGCCCACCGCCAGCCAGCTGGCTGTCAAGGTAAACTCCACCCCCCAAAAGACATCCCTCAGTGACATCATCAGCATGATGATGTCACTTCCAAACCTGACATCATTGCGTCGGGGACAACGCTCTACTTTTTGGGCAAAACTCTATGGTTTGTAGCTATTTTACCATAGGGTTTTGCCCAAAAAGTAGAGTGTTACCTCGACATCACCGATGCATTGACATCACTTCCAGAAGTGATGCTACTGCATCAATGACATCCCTGCCCACCCCCAGAATGCCCCCCACCTGGCAACCCTATGGTGTGGTGATGGTGCAACACAGGTCTGTATTCTGCACAGAAACAACTGGGGTTGGATGTAGCTAGTTTTTCCGCAGGTATAAAAGGAGGAGTGAGTCTCCTTTAATCCACTGTGCAGAAAAGATCATGGGATATGTGTAGACAAAAGACACATGGGACAGGGAATGGAGTGGAATTGGGTGATGTTTAAAAAAAGTTGGCAAGTTTAAGCAAAAAAGTTGCCAGCCCCTGGACTAGAAGATCATTTTAAAAATGTAAATATTTTCACAAGTTGAATACTTTGCTAATATCCAGAACTACTGTGCTTTTACTCACATTGAAAACCAGGAAGGCTGTTATTCGAATGTGAAAGGAGCGGTGTGGGAGCAGTCTTTTATAAAATACATCCCAACATGGCTTCCTTTCCAGCAGAACATGAGGCTTCAATTATACTGTCTTTCAATTTTTTTTTAATCACTCTACATCCTTTCCAAACATGTACATATGCTCGACTCCATCTGTGGTATACCCCTCACTAAAAAGCACTGTTGCATTTCAAGCTATCAGCGATAATCCCTTGGTATTGGATCAATATGTAAAGTTAAAAAATTATTTTTCCATAAGGAATGTGTACGTAAAATGGCAAAACAGTGAAAACGAGGCTTTTGTTCGGTTTAAGTTTGGGAGACGTTTAAAGTTTTGAGATGCGTTTCATGAAACTGACAATTGCATTATGCTTGAATTCTGACCGTGTGCCAGAGCCATTTGCAAGAAAACAACTTTGTAAATACCATCAAAGACTACACACACTGGTACTGACAGATGGCTGTAAGATAGACACGAAAATGGTCACTTTAACAGTTTATGTTGGATTTGGTCACTGTTTTTATGTTTAGATTGGTAATAGGAAAGCAAGTTGGGGGGAGTGAAATCCTGCAATTTGAAATTCCAAACTATGAAACTGTGATCTCTATTTAAACATGAGGTTATGCAAATCACTGTGTTTTTCTCTTATTTTTAAAGGTACAATAGGCAGAATGTGAATAAAATATGTTTATGAATATTAGACAGCTGCCATTGTGACTTAAATGTTGCTATGAAGCTAATGAGTTGGGTCCAGTGCACCATTTCCTTGGGTGCAAGGACTTCGGTCCACAGAACATGGCTTCCATGGCTCCCCTCCCCCTTCCACAGTAGCACAAAATACCCCAGAAATCTCCCCCAGAAGCAGGATTTCAGTTTGCCAGGAGAGAGCGAAACTACAAAAATAATGGTCAGTGGGTGGAAGCCCTTGCACCTATGGAAACACTGCACTGGATCCAGCCCAGTACATATAACTCTCTCTCTATATATATAACTCTATATATATGTGTGTGTGTGTGTATGTGTCTATATATGTGTGTGTGTGTGTATGTATGTATATATGTATATATATGTATGTATATATGTACGTATATAATATTGTCCTTTTCAGATATTAGAATCAGGCATACCAGGAGCCTACCAACCCCATTTAATGTGTGCATGAGCTATGTGTGATTTTCCCAGTACACATAGTCACCATGTTGTGTGAATAGGGGCAGCACCATATTGGCCATGCAGGTACAGCTTTGGTACAAATGAAGAGACTACTGAATTTTTTTTAGAATTCACTTTCGCACACACTGAGGCTGTATTTGCATACGCTCCTGTTATATATAATTGATGATAGCCTCTTGGTATACATCTGAAAAGTACACAAATATATATTATACTATGGCACTTATTTTAATCCATACACCAAAACAGAATAGGAATCAGTGAAGTCTTATCAGGGTTGGAGAGAGGCGCTAAATGATGTAATAAGCTTCATTGGGTTCCCACTGGTGAGAAAAGCAAGCTATCAATATATAAATAAATAAATCCCCCTCCCCACAAGACCCCATTCAATTCGGGATTCTGTTAGCATTTTTTAAATGCTCAGGGAATCTGGGCTCTCCCAGTGCTTCATCTTTAATTCTTTTACAATCTGAATGAAGAGAGGTAGCTATTTGAGAATAAAGGTTAAATTCACAATTACCGTTGGAAATGTATACTCAACAGTGTGGCCATAACATTATGGATATTTCTTGTAACTACTTAACCGGATGATACCCTTGATAGAACATTATGGCTTAATTTAAGGACCTTTTAAAAATAATTTGTTTTACAGTCTAATGCTAGCTCGTTAAAAAAAATTATAATATGTGAGGAGTTGAAGTTTAGATCACCTAAACATTTAAGGCTGCACAAGACTGACGTTGGTTCCCAGTTCCTTATTCACATTTCTGAATTTCTTATTTGTGAAGCCAATCACAAATATTGAGGATAATTTGAAAGCTCTGAATCCCCAAATAAAGATTAGACCACCAAATTATATGCTGATACTGAACTGGGAACCAACTTCAGCCTTCTTATGGCTGCCAAGAGGACAAAAACCAGGAGGTGAGGGCCATTGCTCTAGAGTGTCATCTCTCTTGTCGCCCCAGGAGCACAGGGGGGAGGGGGGCAGGCGAGGCAATGAACCATCAGTACACTTGATTTGGGTGAAACAGGTCACAGCTTTATTGGCTTCACCGCAGAAGTATTGGTGCTGCATGGGGATGGACTCTGAATTGGGCAACCCACCTGGCTCCCAATGAACCCTGCACTCCAGCCCCCCTGCCAGGTTGCATCCAAGGAGTGGCAAAGCTGCCCCATGGGAGCCACATGGGCACTGGCTGCCATGTGGTTCCCCTGCCACTCAGTGGTCAGAGCCCCACTGACAGCCCCCAAGCTGGGCATGCTAATCTGTTGGCTCACTCAGACCCCTGATGGGGGTCCCTATCACCATGGGGTATGGGCATGCAGGCCAATGTTCCCTCTAAGCTGTGGAGTCTTGTGAGCAAAAATTCTACTCTGTGAGCTACTGGCATGGAATTTGTGAGTGAGCGATTTGGCTACTGCATAAATTAGTTGGCCCTGGAGTCATCCTTCCTGAGCGAAGACAAAAATTTGTGAGCTGTAGGCTGAAAAACTATGAGCTAGCTCACACTCACTCAGCTTAGAGGGAACACTGGTAGGCACTGCCTCCTTAGCCAAAGAATCTGTCCCAGTGTTCCAACCGTCCAAAGCTGTGATGATAAGAAAACATCATACTTGACCCCATGACAACCAAAGTGCAGGGAGGATGGGAGGGAAAAAAGGACCCACTGAACTGAGGCTATGGCCTGGGAAACTGCCAATTACATAGGGGGTGGGCAGGCAGAGAGAGCTCACTGACCCACCCCCAGCCCAGCCCCAGATGCATGTCCGGCCCACTGGGGCCAACTGCTGTCACCAGGCCCCACCCACAACCCAGCCATGTCAGGTGTCAGGCACAATCGCCGACTTCGCTGCTCCCTCCCCCCAGCCCCAGAGTCCACAAAGCGGGGTCAGGGGTACATCCCGGCCACGTCTCCTCTTTACAACTGCCAGTTTGCTAGCTTCGCAGTTCATAATTAGGGGAGAAATTTCCCTTTGCTCAGTACAAAAGTCTGGCTTCCGCCGCTCCCACTGTCCTTTTGATGGCCCAGAATTTGAATTTGATAGTGAATTACTTTTCTTTTTTCTGTTATTTGTTGTTCTTTCTTCTCTCAGACTGCTAAAGCAGCTCCTCTCAGTCTCCGCATAGTTACAGAATTGCTTTCCTAGTTACTGTTCTGGGATCAAGAGGTTTTCCTGGGCTTTTGAGGTTCTCAGTTTGACCACTCTTTAGAATGTGCTAATTAGAGTGCTCTGTTTACTGTTTATCTTCTTAGGACGCACAGGTAGAAAGTGCTCCTTCAGGCTTGATTCTAAAGGCTTTGTGGTGAGAAGAAAAGTCTATAATTGACAACCTAGTTATCTACTGAGAGCCAGGCTTCGGGTTCCTCTAACCACAAGAGAGCAGCCCAGTTCTGCCTATTGGAATTTTTAAATACTTCTCCGCTGGTAGACAGAGTAAGCTGCATGGGACTGCATCCAAACATGCAGAATAAGATGTACAGCTGGCTGGGTTTTTTATCCAGTTTTCTGGAGGGAGGGGAGAGAAAACATGAGGAATTAACCATTGCCATTCCTTCTCTATTTGTTGGCCCGCAGTTTCCTCCAGTGCTCTCTGATTCTCGGTAGGAAAGTCTTTGGAATTTTTAACCAGAAGCCCAGTTTCATTCCAAATTCCCACATATAACACTACTGCAGAAGCAAGACTCTAACCCCTTTTACAATATCGTCTATAGGGGTGTTAACCATTTTTATTGATTGTAGCTTTTGTATTTAGTTTAATACATTGCCACATCATATATCAGACGTACACTCTTATAAATTATTATTAATTTCATTGGGTCTTCCAATAAATGGCCACGGTCCAAGAGAAAGTTAAGTATACTTAAGTCCATTGATTTGAATGAACTTGTTTGCCTATCTCTGTGTTATATTGTGGCCAAGGCTGAGAGGTCCCTGATAACAGCTATGTGTGTGCTGTAGGAGAAAGTAAGAACATAAGAACTGGATCAGCCCACTGGACCATCTAGTTCACCATTGTGTTTCGCACAGTGGCCTACCATTTGTCCTGTAGGGCCAACTAGAAAGGCAAATGGATGAAGGCCTTCCCCTGATGTTGCCTCCTGTCACTGGTATTCAGGTGTCTGCTCCTTCTAAATTTGGAGATTCTGTTTAATAACTTTGGCTAGTAGCCATTAATGGACTGTCCTCCACAAATCTGCCTTTTAAAGCCATGTGTGCTCATGGCCATCCCTATACCTACTGGCAGTGAATCCCATAATTCAGTTACTGATTGAGCAAAGATGTGTTTCCATATGTCTGTCCTAAACGTATTGCCCAACTTCCTTGGGTGCCTCTGAGTTCTAGTCTCATGGGAGAGGGAGACAAAACTTTCCGTACCCACTTTCTCTACTCCATGCATAATAGATTTATTTATTGTTATTGTTACGGTCTTAAGACCAACATACAGAGTAAACATAATATGTGAGGAAGAGAAGGGGAAAAAACAGTCATAATATACAAAAATAGAAATCTAAATTTAAGAACTTTTAAAATGCGATTCCCGCAATCTAAGAATTAATGCACAAAACTCAGCGACTGAATGTGTAATCTCTACATTCTTATCTGATAGGATCCAGTGAAGCCTTGCTTTGTTTGTATTAATGTGCCCAGGTGTCCTATCAACTAATGGGGTAATAATTTTAAGACGAGCCTCCCTGTAAAATGGACAGCTGAAGAACATATGCTCTACCGATTCAACCTCGCTTAAAAGGCATCGGCATAGCCTTTCAGAGTAGGGGTTTTTGTTGTACCTGCCTTGAATAACCGCAGATGGAAGGGCAGAACATCTGGCTAGAGCAAATGCCCTTCTAGAATTTTTTCCTGCCACTGAAGTCAAATATATTGCCGGCTCAGTGGTGCTTTTGATATTTAACAACACCTCGAGTTTGGAAGCGTTAGAGATGTCAGATTGTCGCTCAATATCCTCAACTCTTTATTTAATTAGCCCTTTGGCTTGTTCAAATCCATAGGATAAGAGTAGCTGAGGTGAGAAGCCAATTCTATGAATATGATAATGAACCACCCTGACCCAACTGGATTGGAAATCATCCGGGAATATCAGGGGAAGCGAGCCTTGTGGATTGAAATGACCTTTCAGCCACATATAGAGGGATAGAATACATACCCTAGCTTCAATTCTAAGATTCCCAGACTCTAGACGTGTCCAAGCATTGGATACACAGTTAGAAACTTGCAGAACAGCTCTTAAAAATTTGGACTGAACTCTTTCTTGTGACATAAAGCATGAGGAAGGCGGTCCTAAGAATGTTCCATAGAGCAGTTGTGCCAATGTTTTGGCCTTATATAACTTCAGGGCTGCAGGAACAAAGTGTCCACCATGAGTTCGAAAAAATTTCAGTATGACATTTGCGGATCTTTCCTGTAGATTGGCAACATATTTGCTGTGCTTAACCCTAGAACCGGAGGCCTGTAAAACTACGCCCAGGTATTATACATAATAGATTAGGCTACATTACAGATTCTTAATGCAAAAGGGTAACTAAATCCTTTCTATTGCACAATTAGACAAACACTAATGATTAACATTAATTATCAACTGATTAACTCATTAATCAAGTAATTAGTCCATTAAACTTACATTTACATGCCTTTATAAAGATCTTGAGTGATGGTAATCTCTTGATGTTCTTAAATGATAAGATTACCTTTTGCTTATGCTTTAATGAGACAACACTGAACACATTTAATATGTCAAATGTTTTAATGTCAGCAGTGGTTTTACTGTGTTAGATTCATGAGATTTCAAAGACATGAAGCTAATTGTGCCATGTTTTGCCACAATTTTAAAAATGATACTCATGCATAAATCCCAATGAAATAAATGGGCCCCTCATGATGTATTTGTCAGTCTCTGTGGGATTTAAGCATGACTAAGAGTCTCATGGGGAGGGAAGACAGAATGGTAGCCTGATCTCATTAGATCTTGGAAGGTAAGAAGGATCAGTGCTTGGAAGGGAGACCACCAAGGAGGAGTTACCAGAAGGGTGGTCATCCAGCCACACCCTCCTTTTGCTTGTTATTCTGTTTACCTTGTTTGTTGTCAAAACCCAGGGCTTTTTTGGGAGCAGGAACTCCTTTGCACGTTAGGCCACAAACCCCTAATGTAGCCAATCCTAATGAGTTTCTGCTGTTGGGTGTGGCCTATTATGCTAATGAGTTCCTGCTGGGCGTGGTCAACTTGGGAGCCAGCTGGAACTCCGTTCCTGTGCGTTCCTGCCCAAAATTAGCCCTGGATGACTTTCAGGCATGCTCCCTTGTTTGACATTGGCAGTCAGGAGACAGAATAGGCGGAGTATTGGGTAGCCTTCAGAAGGTATCAGTGTGGCTGTGATGCTATGACAAGTTTATTTGTTTTCTATTCCTGCGCTTAAGCAAAGAAACTTTTTGAAGCGCATTTCAAACAACTAGTAATGATTAACTGGTAGCTTGGAAAGTCGATGATTCAATTGATTAATCACATCCATGAATTGTTGAGAACTTGCACACTGAACTGCATATGAACTATGTTCATGCAACACGCACAGCCAAATTCGTAGTTGCTTGATGGTCGAAGATGCATGACGTAAAGATACCGTGTCAGCCTAGTTAAATACAAAAATGTTATGTGTCTTAGAGTCTCTTGTTCTTTCCCATGCACTCTTTTTCCGATGTGATTTTTCCTTTCCTTGCTTTGATTGCTCAGGTGGACCTGCATTTCATGAAAAAGATTCCTCCTGGAGCTGAAGCCTCCAACATTTTGGTCGGGGAGCTGGAATTCTTGGACCGGGCTGTTGTTGCTTTTGTAAGACTGTCCCCCGCGGTACTGCTTTCCGGACTAGCAGAAGTTCCAATCCCAACAAGGTAATTTGTGATGAAGGCTGAAAAAATAATGTATAAAATATCAGTTGCAATGTAAAGAATCTAAATGAACCAGTTCCTAATGGCATTTTGAAGCATGCACGTTTGTATTGTGACACAGGTTTCCATGGAACAATCATTTGCTCAGTGTTAAGGTGCCACCAGGCTCCTCTTTGCTTGCTTGTTTGTTTGTCTTGGTGAAACTGACTCACATAGCTACTTCGCTGTCATTTGTGAGACTCTGTAATGCAGATTCAAACTTTTTGAGCAGGGGTCTGCAGCCTGCCTCCAGAGCAAAATTTGGCTCAGCCCTGACTTGGACAGCCCAGGCTAGCCTGATCTCATCAGATCTTGGAAGCGAAGTAGGGTTGGTCCTGGTTAATACTTGGATGGGAGACCACCAAGGAAGTCCAGGGTTGGCAGGCAGCACAGAGACAGGCAATGGCAAACCACCTCTGAATGTCTCTTGCTTTGAAAACCCTACAAGCTTGCTGTAGGTTGTCTGTGAATTGACAGCAATAAAAAAAAGACCTCAAAATGACGCTTTAAAAACAAAAATGAAATCTTTATGTTAAGGTGTACTGAAGGGGGAGATGGGATCTAGAATGATGAGAGTGTGAAAAGCAGAGCAAGCCAAGATTCCTCTGGGACTAAAGGGCTTCTTAGAGATGGTTTCCAGAAAGGGAAATGATAGAGGTGAACAGTTGCCAATAATCCAAGTGTGAACCATGTGCAGATTTAAGGCAGTTGTCTCAAATAATTGTGCAGGGTGCTGCTATTACTTATTGTGAGACCGTGTGTCTGTGCCACTTTCTAATAAAAGATTACAGTGACCAAAATTTAGGCAATGGGTACATTATAGATTATTAATCAATTTGTCAGTCACCAGTGATGTTGACTTGTATAATTTCAGTTGCACAAATGGACATTCTAATACTGGCTCTTTGTTGATCTCCTGCTCCAAATTATGATGTCGTTTGCCTCATTAATTACAAAAGGTTGCTCACCCTTGTTTTAGAGCTTGATTTGTCCATCTGTCTTGTTGTGTTGTATGAAGTGAATGGCCTCTGAATATTTTTCCCATTTATTTACAGATTTTTATTTATTCTCCTGGGACCACTAGGAAAAGGCCAGCAGTACCATGAGATTGGCAGGTCAATTGGAACATTAATGACGGATGAGGTATTTATCTTTAAAATGCAGTTTATTAAATCTTATTTGGAGGTAACATCTTTTAAATCCTTAGATTTGTTTTACCTCCGGATATATGTAATGTATAATGAATGTATTGCTGCACTCAAGAATGTAGCACTCATGAGTGTGTGTGACTACATGTAAGCTGAATGTAGCAGTGTGCGACTACATTCAGCTTACATCAAAATTGAAAACCAGTTTAAAGAAGGAAAGGGAAACAACTGCATACTGAAATAGATTTTACATATTGGGCTACCCTGAAAAATGGCACAGAAATGAATTGCATGTCTGGTTGAGGAGGAGTCATAAAGGCTTGCTCCCTATGGATTGGATCCAAACATATTTTCTGCTGGTGAAAAAGGGAAGGAGGGATTTGACCACCAAAGTACCTAAACTGGGGATCATGGGATTGGCATAGACAAAAGACATCTGGGATGGGGGTTGTAGGAAGGAGGTGAGATTGAGTGAAAAAGTTGGCTGGATCTAACCCTGAGTCTTTTATTCTGTCGCTGGCAGGTGTTTCATGATGTTGCATATAAAGCTAAAGACCGTAACGACTTGGTTGCTGGGATTGATGAATTTCTCGATCAGGTGACTGTTCTCCCTCCTGGAGAATGGGACCCAACAATTCGTATAGAACCACCCAAAAATGTTCCTTCTCAGGTATGTACTTTATTTTACATTAATCAAAAAGAAAATATTTTGGAAATGTGAAGGTGAAGATTGCCTACTATGTTTGTTTACATATATCATCTACTGATCTTAAATAAGAATTATAGGAAAGGTGACTCCAGTTTTAAATAGTACTTTGTTGTCTGCTTATTTTTGAGGAATTCTGTATTCTTGTTGCTTACTATGGCTTGGATCCACCAGAGAACTTCTGCCAATGGAAGATATTTCTCACCTCCCCCACTATGGCCCCAAATGCCCCCCAGAATACTGTTGTAGGGAACAGAGGGACCTCTGAGAACAGCGTGAGGTAGGAGGCAGAGGTATGTAGCAGGAAGGGGGAGTTGGTGAAAATCATCCCTGCCTTCCATCTATGGAAGTCTTCCAGTGGATCCAACCATTTATTAAATGCAAAAAACATCCTATCCTACGTCGAGGTATGTGTCTGTGTTTTCGTTTATTAAAGTAAAAATGGCATAATCATACTTGACCACTCCATGGCAGCAAAATAAGTAGTGATTTAATGGCATTTGTATTTTATTGACCATAATTGTGACTGTATAATGATAAATACTCAGCATACCAGTTTTCAGAATATCATCCCTAACATGACTATTGTCGTATTTCCTGAACAAAGAGCTGTTGGATGACAACAGGGCTAATTATGAACTGCTGTCAATAAAATAAAATATTTTTTTAAAGACATCACAGTTTTTTCGATGAAAAATATAACTTATCAGAATGCAAAAATTATCAGTGAGCATAAATCAGAGTCAATACAGTGACTAAGTGGGAGCAGATGGAGATGGATTGATTAAATGGTGCCATCAATTGTCATTGTTGATACACTAATTGATATTATTGTTGTTGGGTTTTAATTAATTGTTATATTATTATATTATTATTGTTATATTATTTTTTAAATAATGGATTATGTTATTTATTGTATCACTGTAACCTGCCCTGAGCTTGCCTGTGGGGAAGGGTGGGCTAGAAGTCAAATAAAGATAAAGATAATTAGGTGCTACCATGGTATTTTAATAATAGCAATGTTTGTAAAGTGAAGGCCCATCCTCATCCTCTCTCTTCTGTGAATCACCATTTTGCTGGTCATTTGTAATCTCCCAATTGACTTGCCCTTTTTGGCAATTTATTGGTATCTGTAGCAATTACTCCCATAGCCGTGTTAGTCTGTCTGTAACAGTAGAAAAGAGCCCTATAGCACCTTAAAGACTAACAAAATTTGTGGCAGGATATGAGCTTTTGTGAGTCACTGCTCACTTCAGATACAGCTAGAATGTGTGTCCATCTGTCCTTACTTCTTGGAGAGTGGAGTGATTTTAGATGCCAAGTGACAATAGCAGGTAAATGACAACAGCAGGCTTGATTGGATTCAGTTGCTGACCTAAGAGTAGCCATTCTCTTACAAAAGAATTTCAAAGGGAGATTAGAAAGAGAGACTGCTGAATTACAACAGATAATAAAGCTCAAGACAATGCATCCTCCTGGACTGAATCAAGACCTAGGTTTCCTGTCTTATTACCAATGCTAATTTCTCCACCCCTGTTAGCCCTCTGCATATCACGCCTAATCCAATCAAGCTTGCTATTGTAATTTGCCTGCTGTTGTCATTCGACATCTGAAATCATTCCACTCTCCAAGAAATAAGGACAGATGGACTCACATTCTAGCTATATATGAAAAAGTGAGCACTGATGCATGAAAGCTCATACCCTGCCACAAATGTTGTTAGTTTTAAATTACTCTCATGGAAGAATACTGTTGGCTGGAAAAAAATTTTTTAATAAATCCTGCTAGCATTTCTAGTGATGCTTCCAGGAGTCAACAACAAGTTATGCTTTCTCTTATTTAATTTTTTAGATATTGGTGCCCCACTTTTCTCCCCAGAGGGGGTCCCAAAGCAGCTTCCAACATTGTTTTCCCCTCCTCCCTATTTTCATCCTTACAACAACAACCCCCGTTAAGCAACTCAGGGCAAGGGGTGTGACAGGCCCACGGGCACCGACCACACCTGCATGGCGTGGTGGAGATTCAAACCTGAGTTTCCCAGATCCTGGTCTGACACTCTAACCATGATATACCACACTGGCATTCTCTGTTATAGGGCTGAAGCGAAAGCCTACCAGGTCATTGTTAATGGATAAAGAGGCTCCTGTCTTTGCTGTTCTGAAACTGTTTCTGTCAGTTTGTGGCTGGCCTGTCCAGATGCTAACTGTCATTACAAGTTAGAGGCTGTTGTGTGATTTCTGTTACTTGTGCAGGAAAACTGCAAAGGGGCACTGAAAGCATGAATAACTGGCTAACTGACCATAGCAGTTTCTTGGCAGCCCATAATTTGGAATGAAAAAAGAAAACCACATCTTTCTTCTATGCAGGAGAAACGTAAGATTCCAGGCGTGCCAAATGGAACCGCAGCTCATGGGGACGCAGAGCCACTTGGGGGGCACTCCGGTCCAGAATTACAGCGTACCGGAAGGTTAGTAATATATTCTACATATTGTTTGTATATGAATAATTATGCAGGCATTGTGGCTCTTTTTAAGTATCATTACTCATACTATGTATGCTGGTGTGTATACATGGAATTCTCAGTTGAAAAGAGCTGAGAGCTTATATCTCTGCATGCAAATCCCACTCCATTGGAATGAACAGGCTTTCCCCATTCATTTCAATAGAGAGTTTTTATCTGTACAAAAAAGGGCATGAATCTGGAGATTGGCTTCCTCCCTTGAAATGAATATCCCATTCTTTGCACTGCTGCATGATTCCATCAGCAGCACCTCGGTTTGTAAGAAGTAGCTGACACGGGATGCCTGGCTTTAACATAGGAATGTAAAGGTAAAGGTAAAGGTTCCCTTGCACGAAAGCAAGTCGAATCCAACTCTAGGGTTGTGGTGCTCATCTCCGTTTCAAAGCCAAAGAGCCAGAGCTGTCCGAAGAGGTTTCCGTGGTCATGTGGCCGGCATGACTAAACACCAAGGCGCAAGGAACGCTGTTACCTTCCCACCGAAGTGGTACCTGTTTATCTACTTGCAATTTCTTGCTTTCGAACTGCTAGGTTGGCAGGAGCTGGAACTAGAGATGGGAGCTCACTCCGTCATGTGGCATCCGGGTCTCGAACTGCTGGACTACTGACCTTTCACAGCCTGCAGTTCAGCGTCTTAACCACTTGAGCCACCGCAGCTCCTACAGGAATGTACCAGTGCTTATTCTACTGTTATTCATGGCCAGGCATTCTGATAACCTCCTATTATCAAGAAGTGGGGGCCAGAAAAGTTTATAATGGTAATATTTGCACATGCTTTCAGATGGCTATGTACCATATTGTTGTTGTTTTTTAAAAAACGAATCTTTGGAGAACATATTCATTTCCTTAAATAAGAAACAAATAAAATGTTAACACGATTATTCAGTTTAGAAACCATTAAACCATTCACCAGATATAGAAATGACATGCATATACATCATGCACTTATTTAATACGAATTCAAATAAAGAATGATTTCAGATATTTGCCTTTTGTAATGTTGCAACTGAGGTAATGAATGTGACATGTTACAAAACTTCACTGTCAGGGATTTGGGCATTCAGCTCAGCCGATGGTGAAAGCCTCTGACCCAGCCCCGTAGCTAACAACTTTTTGGTGGGGGGGCAGTGTTTTGCTTGTGGGGCCTGCCATTATATGTCTGTGTGGAGCTGCCAC